CATATTGCTAATATGGGCATTCCATATGTTAGGGAGAGGACATGTCCATCACTGTATAATAGGGATCCAAAGTTCTTGCCAAAAAGGATGTCACTGGAAGTAAAGGGAGTCTAGATGCATCTCCTCCTAATTGCTAAGGTGTCAAAGGGCTTCATTTAGAAGAGAGTCTGTGGAACAAGACAGGAGATTTTGAAACTTTTCAGAAGAAAGTTTATGGAGGTGGTAGAGCAATCTTCCTGTCCTTTCCTTGGGACCCAATTTGATTGTTAGGAATGGAAATATAGACGTACAGCCCAACCAATTCCTGTATATTTAGATGGTTCTGGGAGAATACTGGTGGTTATTACTGCAAAACACTATCAGAAATGTCACATCAACTGCAGGGTAATGGATTAAGGCTTCATTAAAACCATTTGGAAAGTTGTTAGCTAGAAAGGCCAACATGAAGCTAAGAATGTCCAGGATGCCTGTATATGGAAGACACAGTAAATCAGGGCTGCTGACTCTTCATTGCATTCTGTAATGATTTCCCCACAAAGTGTGTGCAGTTCTAATATTTTTTTTTAATCTCTGTTTTTGACTAAAATACTGTTTTTCTTTTTGTAACGCAACCTTAAAATCCCTGAAGATTTGATATGCAGCATCAGTTCTAGGATTTGTGCTAAGTACTGAGAGGACATAACTGCTGAAGGATACATTTGTGAAGTGGCACACAGACTTCATTGAGGTTTTACTGTTGTTGCCATTGTTTTGCACTTCAGAGTGAACCAGCATAACCTCTAAAATACAACTAGAGAGAAAAAAGAACCCCACACCATTCAACGTGTACCTCCTGACTTTGGGAATTGGGCTGTTCATGAATCTTTCTACTCCTTTGCACTTTATGGTTACCCAGCAAATCCATCTTGGGCACCAGTTGCACCTGTTCCTGGACTGGGACACTCTGCTGATGGTTGCTCATCCTTTAGTCACTTCTCGGTTGGATTACTGCAACTCATTCCACACATGGCAGCTCTTAAACAACAACAATAACTTCAACAACAACAACATTTGGAAGCTGCAAAGTGGCCTGGTTAGAAGGCATTCGCAGCAAGCTGAATTGACCCTGAGTGGCAAGAGGGAGAAAACTCAGCCAGGAACCTGTGGCCCAGGAAACCAAATTGTTTCTTTTCATTGACCATATCTCAAAGACAATATGGCTAGCATGCTGACCCAGTAGGAAGGAATAAATGATAATAAGGTCACATGGATGGGTTTATCTAAAATATTCCAATGTCACACTGTACTTTCCACTGTGTCTGCCTTTTCCTTTGTCTTGCCTTTGCAATGTAGTGGGCCACAGGTATAGAAGCCCTGGTTAGTGTTTGCTCATGGCCGCTCAGCAAAGTATGAAAACTTTTTCCAGGGGTGCAGTATATCCTGTATTATTGCTTGTATGCATGCAAATAAAATTATGTTGTATCTTCAAAGTGATTTGGTTGCTTTAGTTAAGCCAGGTTTTGGCCACAACACTATCCTATTTCCTCCTTTTCTTATCTACCCAGCAAACTCAAAATTTTAAGGGTTACACCTGGAGATACTTGATTTCACCTATGGCAAAGAAATATATCTTTATGCATATTTAAAGCTCCGTCTCACCAAGAAGCATGCACTAAAATAATTCCTAAAATGGGGACTTCTGGTGAGGATTAATGGCAGTTTCATCCTCTTCAAGGGACCTGAGATGGCATGATAGTGGAGATCGGTACCCACAAGCCAGCGCTGGATTTCAAACTTCCTCTGGACAAAGGAGGGAGTGTGAAATAACCTGTTTGATCGCTGGACAGCTGGTCTCCATATGTTACCTGCAAAAGCAGGAGGTTTTATGGTTGGCTCGCAAGTTGAGTGGTTGGGAGGCATGGACCCTGAGACAGATTTTCTTTTACCACAGATAAATCCTTCTCCTGGAGATCTTCATTTGTTGGGGGAATATAAATTTAAAAGAAGGTTTCAAGACTTAAAGTATAAAGAATATTTGCTAAAAAGCTTAATAAGGAAAATGGATGAAGGGGGTGGTTATTTTTCAAAAGGATTAATTTGTAATGAAACTGCATTGCAGAAATCCTAACTGAATTAAACAATTGGCTTAGATCTTCCATGGGAACGCCATTTAACACCCAAGTAAAACCAGAACTTGTACTGACTGATGAACATGGCAGATTTGTTGAGGTGGAAGTTGAATTATAAGGGTCTAAAATTATGGTACTGGGAATTTATGCCACAAATGAGGATAAAGGAACATTTTATAAATGACTTATGGAGTGATTGACAAGTTTTTCTTATGAAAATTTGTGTTTGGTGGAGATTGGAATGGTGTGATTTCTCCACAATTAGGTAGAACATCAGAGGAGAAGAAAAAGGACATGACATTCCCCTAGAAAAAAATAGATGAATACTTAAAAAAACAAAACTTGCCAAGGCTTACAGAGAAATATAGATAGATTATGAATTGACCATAACAATAAGGGAAGTTTCTGAAGCTATAAAAAAGATTAAACCAGGAAAAGTAGCAGGATCAGATGTATTACCAGGTTCTTATTACAAATGTTTTGAGGATGAACTTCTACAACCCCTCCAAAATATGATGAATTCTATACTACAGGGAGGAAAGATGCCAGAGACTTGGAAAGAAACTAATATAGCATTAATACCTAAAGTGGGGCAAGATCTAACTCTAGCAAGAAATTATAGATCAATATCATTATTGAATAATGATTATAAGTTGTTCACAACAATTTTAGCAGATAGATTGAAAATAATTTTGCAAAAATTTATTCATGAAGATCAATGTGGATTTTTTAACCTAAAAGACAATTAAAAGACAATGTCAGAAGTGTTGGATGTTATAGAAGACTATATAGAATAGCATAATGAAAAACAAGCTGCGTTAATTTTTTTTTTTGATGCAGAGAAAGCTTTTGCTAATTTAAATTGACATATTAGAATTTTTCCAGGGAGAATTCAAAATAAAATTAATGGAAGATTTGACATTAGAAGGATACAAATGTCAATGGTTTTCCTATCTTCAAGTATTAATATCTACAAGTCCAGGTGTGATGGAAGGCATGAGCGTGGAAGGTTCTGGAATGGAGCTTCAAGGTTGCCAGGAGGGGGAAGAGACATTCCAGGGGAAGCACCTCCTCAGTCCCCAGCTGGAGTGTGGGAAAGCCAAGAGAATGAGACTGGCCCCTCACTAGGGCCTCATGGTTATAGTTACTGTTGTTGTAGTATAGATTTAGTCTGGTGAGATTGTCTATTAGGTGTAAGCTAATAAAGGAGCTAAACTGTTCTGGACTGTCTCGCTGTTGTTCTTGGGCTGAACCTGACATCAATCTCGCCAGACTAAATCTCATTCTCTTGGCTTTCCCATACATATATGCCCATATATATATATGGGAGAATATGTGGATGAAAGGGCTGAAATTTACATTGTTACAATCTTAAAGAGAATTTTTATAAAATGATGTATTGTTGGTGTTTGTCACTGGAAAAATTGTCTGAAATGTATAAAGGTACTTTGAATTTATGCTGGAAATGTAAACAAGAGGGGACTTTTGATCATGCTTGGAGGACATGTAAAAAAGCTAAAAAAAATTGGATCCAAATAGATGCATTAATTCAGAATATTTTAAAGATTAATATACAAGTGAAGCCAGAGATGTTTCTTTTGGGACTGATTGACAACGAGTTGGAAAAACTCATGGAATTTTGTTTTTATATCTGATGACAGCAGCGAGACTTTGATATGCACAACGGTGGAAAGATTTGACATTACCCACAATGGAAGAGTGGATGGTGAAGATGATGGAGCTGGCTGAGATGGCTAAATTGATTAGGAAAAGACACTGATTAAGTTTAATGCTGATGTGAACCCCCTTTTGGACTTCTTGCATGAAATACAAAAAAAATGAAATTATGATATATGGGTTTGATGATTAGAAAAAATATTACATGATAGAAGAATTAAAGCTACGTTGTAACCAATAGAGTAAGAGTAATTTAAATTTATGCCTATAACTGTTGTAATAGAAAATTGGAAGTCATTACTTTATATTTCTTTTTTCTTTCCTTTTTTTGTCCTTCCTTCCTTCCTTCCTTCCTTCCTTCCTTCCTTCCTTCCTTCCTTCCTT